AAAATTACCTTCTCTGTTTAATCTTACTCTTTTCTCTAAAACGTGCCCAAAATGGCAGATCATTCACTTTAATTCGTATATTTCTAGTTGTCAATTATTAAGACAGCTCTTAAGTTGAGGCTCGGCCCGGCTTGTAGTTGTCTCTAAATTTTCTGAGTTATCTTCCTAATTTACACACATAAATTATTATTTTTTATCCATATAAACTTATGCTCTCTTGTGGACATTACTATCAGATCGATAAATTTGCTAGTTTGGCTATTAAAACCCAGGGGCAGTGATGGATTAAAAAAAAACAAATACATAAATTTCTATAAGTCGGTTAAATTAAACTGCTATTTTTGAAAAAATATTGCTTTTGGCACTTCTAAATGGGCCATGACCATAATAATCTTGCTTTTCTGTTCTGTAGTCAGATTTATCTTCACTGTTTTGTCAATTGGAATCTTACGGATTAAACCCATAAGATGAAAACAATGGTTGTATTAATCTCTGCGTTTGCAATGTTTTTTTATTATATTCAAATTGGATTAGTCGGAGATTCGTTCTACCCATCATTGCAGATGGAGAAACTATTTTTTACTATCGATTCTACTTTTTTCATTATCTTAGTTCTTCATCATACCATTAACTGTTTGGCCGTTCACCACCATTCAGAATTGTTGTTTCTATTTTCTACTCCTTAGTCTGACGATTTCTTCGTTTTTATTTTTCCTCAACTTTCAAAATTTGCATTCCATCGTCCCACTCGTACAGGCCGCCCCAGCAGCTGGCGTCTTATGCCCATATCCAATCAGACCTCTTCTATAGGACTCTCACTTAGTGGCTCCAGCCGTCTTATGGCTGCGGCAGCGGCAGCAGCTTCCGCAGCCTCTTTCACCACATCTTCCTCTTCCAACTCCCCTTCATCATCCATTTTATCCTCGTCCACGCCTCCCGCTGTATCAGGTGCGACAAACGCCGCTCTGCCTACCACTCCAACTTCCGCCAGTTCATCACTTCCTTTGCCATCAACCTCATCTTCGACCACACTGCCATCGTCTTCTTCTCCTTCCTCTTCTTCTTCTTCGCCCTCTTCCTCCTCGTCCTATTTCTCCGCCTCCTCCTCTTCTTCCCCAACGTCTGGCCTGGGCAGTAGCATATCGAGTGGACGTCTTTTAACGTCGTCATTTTCGTCTGATTCAACGTCTTCCGACCCTAGCATGCCTTCTCCGGTACCCAATTCATCTTCTGCCAGCTCCTCCCTCTCCTCGTCACCTCCTCTGCTTGCAACTGGTCTCATCTCGGCAATAGAAGGTCGTACCGCTGGAACTGATGTGTCCTGTGCTGACGAGGATGCTGGAGGCAATTTAATCGATGCTGGTGACCATAACACTGTTCTTGCTTCGGTCATTTCAGCCCTAAATGACGACACTACCACTGCTCTAGGTCCTCCATCTGTCTTGCCCTTATCTCTACCTGAACTTACGTCTACTACGAAAACCGTCACCACCTTAAAAACGGCCACAAATTCCGCTACAACTGCCATCCTGGAGTCTGTCGGTGCTGGGCAGGCCCAACAGAAACTCATCGTCTCCACACAAAACTATCTCCCTACCACCTCTGTCTCTACGACGACTGAATTTACCAACACCAGCACCAGCTCTCTGATTCGTAGGGGAGTTCCAGATGCAATGCTGACATCGACAACAACGACAACTGCTGTTGCAGTCGCAGCAGCTACAGCAGCCGCTGGTCAGCTCAGGCGCATTGTGACTTCGGGTGGGGGCTCAACAAGGTAGGCGGCTAATCAGCCTCCCTCCACATGCTTTCACCGCCACGTTAAATTGGAAATTGGTGATAAATATGGCTGTACAAAAAACCTAAATAGTGTTTTGTGTAAATAAAGAAAGTAAAATTTTCATTTATAAGCAGAGTTTCGAGACTACCATCAAATCAGTTGTGTGAGACGTATTCACCCTATTTCGTTTAAGGTGATGAAGGATTGGTAGTTGAATTTTTCCCCATTATATGAGTACAATTGACGCTTCTATTGAATTTCACATATCCTTGCTTTCTCAAAATATGTTCTCATCCAGAATGTTTCATCGAGACTCCCACCAAAGAATGTGATATGGAAAAATGTCTGGTCTATCTTGAAATTCACATCTGCTCTCTGATCCAAAGGAACTCGTGATGATGTGACGTGGAAGTTAACGTGTCGAGATTACACACTGCACTGTCATGATTCGACTTCCGCTATGGATGTTGATAAGACATAGGCGAGGTCTAAACTACCGTCCACTTTAGCCTGGATGAGAACATCTTTTGGGAAAGCAAGGCTCTATGAAATGTAATGGAGACGTCAGTTCTACACATTTAATTGTGAGAAAATTCAGCTACCATTCCGTCATCACCTTAAATGAAATAGGGTGAATCTATCCCATTTAAAGAAAGGAAACGATGGTAGCTTTTGCTAATAGTAAATAAGGGACTAAAGAGCTTTAGGGAGAGAGAAGTAAAGTTTGCAATAACTATGTATTAAAAACCATGTAGGGTGGAGCATTGATACAAATAGCTTTTGCATAAAATATTTGATCACCTGGTGAGAGCAGGAATAAAAATGATTGAGATAATTAAAATAAGAACCATTATCAAAGTTTGCGAGACAGAGACGAAGGGGGGACAGATCGAGATCAGCCATTCTTATGAGCCTAAGCTTCCAGCCTTATTTGACAAAAATTTTATTTTCGACACACCTGCTCTCTTTATTTCATACGTCAGTACACAAAAGAACCCAGGGATGCACATCCTTTTTTGGCTGTACCGACTAATCAACGTTTATGCGATTTTCCCCTTTTTATCTCACCTGATTTTCGCAGAGCCGTTTTTAGCATTCGTGAAAAATGTTCCGGTTTTTTCCAGAGACTAGTAATTAACGCTTAAGTCACTATCTTATCCGTATTAAGCCGTCTCTGGTCGATTTTTATTCTTTATTGTTTAGGCCGATTATACAGCATTTTTGCACTAAGTTGGTGTATTCTAATGATTATGGCCTTAAATAAAGGGTTGTCTAGGATGTTGCATAGGATAAAACTGTCTAGAGGCAAAAACTGAATTGCTACTTTATCCGAGTATATATTACCGTTGGGTATATTAATTAGTTCAACTGTTTAGCTTAACCATCAAATTTTCGTGTGCCGGAGAAGCTCCTAATTTCCAATGTATCGTTTCGGCCGATTGTATATACAACAAGAAAATGCTGGTTTCTAAAAGTGCTTGACAAATTTTCATATTTTACTATATTTCTCAATACACATTCATAAAAATCTGTAAAATATGCGATGAATATGAGGAGGAAGGTTTTGTTTTTTCATTTCCCCTTTAGTTTATTTTTCAGCTATGTGCACGAATCTAAATGTAAACTGTGTTGGAGATAGCGCAGCTAACTCTCTAATTTTATGTAAATCTCAGCCAACCTATGTACTGACAAGTTAGGCAATGATACCACAAGAATTTTTTCCTTGCTCAAAACTATTTTCATCCGTTGGGAAATTTAAAGTTGAATTAACCTCCTAGGCAACGACGTGCACAATCATAGAGTTAACTAATTTCCTGGCTTATTGCCTTATTTACTCTGGTC